TTTGCATACAATATATTAAACTAAGAACAAAAGTAACATTGCTATTAGCATTGCTATCCACATATACTCACCTAATAAATTGTTGAACCTTTTCGGTTGTTGCCAGTGGTGGACGTTTTTTTATTTGCTCCCTCAATCCAATCAATGAACATCTAAAAACATCATTAAAAAAATTCTTAACTCTGTCATTATATTAGTAGGGAATAAACATAATCAGTTACGCCATAATACAGTTCTTAACCAAATCAAGACCAACCCTTTCACTGAAAAGTGAAAAAATCTTAAAGAGTTTCAATTTAATCATATTATTCTTCCGAACAAGAAACCCACTTTAACCCAATAGACCATCAACTAATACAGTAGTTGAACTAAATATTTAATTACATCTATACTTGGAGAACAATCAACGTTAATGAGTGCTATGGTCTTAGGTGCCCAGGTTTTCAGCCAGAATAAGATCTCACACATCATGAAAGAGAGAAGATATAATCTGAAACAATATTCACTCAGCAGTTGAAATATGTACTCTTATAAATTGCTTAGAAGTGAAAATATCACGCATCATGGAATAAGATCATATTCACTTGAAATAGAGAAGATATAAAAATATTACACATCATGAAATTAGATTCAAACGTTAAAATTATGTATGTTGAACTCTTATTCATTTATTCCAACTTCCTTTTAGTTTTCCCCAATTTTTTTTATTGCAGTATGGAGCATGGGCCCAAAAAATGTGAAAGAGAGAGAGAAGACAGTAGACTATTTGGTTAGATTCCATACAGGGATGGGCGAGCTTCAAGTAGACTTATGTAAGCAAAACCAAACTCCTCATCCTGAAATAGCAATTTTAAAAGATTCAGCAATGAAAGAGAAACAAGAGGGAGGGGGCAAGGAGCGAGGGAGAAGAGTAGGAGAGAACCAACCTCAATAAGCTCTTTTGCTTGATGCAAGGATAAGTTTGTGTTTGCTCCCATAAATTTCAGCATTTGTTCTTCAGTCACACCCTCCTGAGAGAAGGAAGATTTCCTCATGATCAATGAAACATTAGAAACGATGAGTGTGCAAAAACATACAAGCATTGACACTATATTTTGAAATTCAAAAAAAAATTATAGCAGCAAAAGGAAGTTGTACTTTCAGATGGACTTGTCCTTAGAAGATGAATTGCAGCAGTTGGAACATTAACACCTAATTCTTATTTTCCGCGATTAATAAAGGAAATGATTCACGCAGCACAGGAATACTGAGAACTTACCTTAGGTGGCATCCACTCCACACCATGAAGCAAGGAAGATTTCACCATAACAGGATCTAACTGCAGCAACAAACAATGTGCTCCTAAAGTATCGTGTGTTTCCATCATAAGGTTCACCATAATGAGTTAAGGATCTAATGTCAGCAATTGGAGCGGGACCTGACTTCACATGATAGATTAATCAGAAGATAATAATTTCATTTGGTCAATATTAATCACTTGAAAAGAAGCAGTCTAACAAAGTTTCCAAAAATAAAATAAAAATGTAAATTACATACCAAGTTCATCATCAAATGCGAGGCAGCATGCTTTAAGTTCCCTATCTGTTTCCCTGTTCATTCGTTGACCAATTAAGAATGCCGAAAGCGATGATTCACTAACTCCAGTGGATTTTCCATCTTCCAATTTCAATGCAAAAGCATCTTTCAGAACAACTTGGACTTCCTCGTATCCAAGGTGACCTCCAGCCAAAATTTCTCTAAGTGCACCAACCAATTCATTTCATTGTTCCATTCCCAACAAATGGGGTCCAGCTGCACTTCCAAATCCCATTATAGAGCCTTCGGGATCAGCAATGAAGATAAAATCAGGTGGTAGTACTCGTGCTTGTGGCCAAAATTTCTTCATTGCACCTTTCTCCTTCACTCCATTGAGTTGCTTCAGGGAAAACATTAGCACGGATTGTCATTCCAGCAAAGAACACTCCAAGTGAGCTTTGAAACTTGTTCTTCATCTTTTAGTTCTCCCCTAACTGTCAATACATGCAAACCATGTTATTGAATGAGGCATTCAGTTAATAATACCAACTTATCACTTAATCTAGTGATAGAAGGTCTTCCTTAAGCATCAAAGTCATCTACTAAATGGGAAAAAAAACACATGAAACACTATGACACAGAGCAAAAGAATTAATAAGTTACAACTTAAAATTAAGGATCCTTATGCATCAAAATCATTTTTGTACAAAGAAAATTCCTAGTCATTGTATGTTAAACCTTCATGCAATTCCTAAGTTTTAAAATAAATGAATTGAAAAATGCAAATCGCTTTACTAAAACAAAACAATCTTTAGTTAACTTTGAGATAATTTAATACCCGGGGAAAATGATAATAAAAATAGGTTAGAGTTATAAGAGAAACAGAGTAAAGAACATTTGACCTGATCTTAAAATGGTGTCCAAAACCTTAAACGCCTGTTCCTCAGAGAGCGGTCTGGTCTGAGTGGGTCCAGTGCAAACCCTAGCTTGAGCTTCCAGCACAGTCTGCTTCGGCTTCGGCAACTTAGAGTTTCGATACGTTGAAGAAATCGCCGGGTTTCGGATTCGTTAAGCCCTAATTGCTCAACAGCTGCAGAGTCCAAAACAGCTCTCGTGGCAATCAAACGCGATTTTCGTCCGATAAAACGGCGGCCGCCATTCTCATTCAAGAAACGAAGCGAGGTCGGAATGCGGGATGGATTATGATTGCGAGAGTTGATTTGGATTGAAGACAAAGAAAGTGAAGGCTCTGGAGTGAGTCGAGCTCGCATTTTCAATTTTGGATTGTTTTTTCCTTTTCTTTCTGAGCAAATGAGAAAAATACACGGTCGGAGAATCCGTCGCTTTAACTTGCCGGTTAGGGACGAAACGATGAGCCTCGAGAAAAGGAATAAAACGAAGGGGGTAAATACATCATAAGTCATTCAATTATTTGTACGATTATAAATGTCACTGAATTTTAAAATATTAAAACGGATCAATGGCACAATAAATATTTTAAAAAATTAAGATTAAGTAGTGGAAAAAGATGATAAATCAATATAAAAAACCATATCAAATAATCAAGGTATGATGATGTGTTTAGATATAAGTGTGATTATTTGGGTTCAATTATCTTTTTCAGTGGTATGCCAGAGCGTAAGCTTGGCCTAAATGATCTCCCCTCTCGCGTTTGATTCAAATCAGATCATAAGAAAAACCGTGAACCACACCGATCTGATCTGCAAAATTACCAGGGATTTCTTAGGGACAGAGACAAAACCAGAAGAAATGGCGGGGCAGCATCTGCACTTTCTTAGATATAAAAGGCCGCGCTCTGGTGTGGCGTGACTACCGTGGCGACGTCTCCGCCGCTCAAGCTGACAAGTTCTTCACCAAGCTCATCGAGAAAGAGGTTTTTTTCTCTGTCTCCTTTTGCAAATTTAGGATTTCGATTCATATGTAATTTCTTTTTAGAATGAATGCATTCTTCTGTTTTTGCTATTTTCTTTTTAAGTTTGAAATTAGCTATCTATACTTCGAATCAGTTTTTAATTTGGTCGTGCTCTAATTGGTTAGCGTGTTGTTGAATTCGGTCCTTTGGGTTTGGTTCACAGGGAGATCCGCAGTCGCAAGATCCAGTGGTTTATGATTATGGAGTAACGTACATGTTTATACAGCACAGCAACGTGGCAGAATTGCAATGCCGCCAGTCTTCTTTTCTTCCTGCACCGTTTAGTCGATGTAAGCCAATTCGGTAACTGTAGTTTATGCCTTTTATTTTTTTCGAATTTGGGTGTGTTTTTTTTTTCTTTCCGTTTTCTTTGTGAAGTATACGATCTCAATTCTCAGTATTGATATTAATATTTCAGGTTTTTAAGCATTATTTTGAGGAGTTAGAAGAGGAATCGCTTAGGGATAACTTTGTTGTAGTGGTATGTGAAAATCAAATTCTGTTTTCTTGCATTGGTTGTTACACTGTATTGGTTTATAATTTTAGTAGAGGACTTATAATTGGCTGTTTTTTATGCATCTGCCCGTATGAGTTACTATACGAGATTATGGATTTTGGCTACCCTCAATACACCGAAGCAAAAATACTCGGTGAGTTTATCAAGACCGATGCTTATAGGATGGAAGTTAGCCAGAGACCTCCAATGGCTGTTACGAATGCAGTCTCTTGGCATAGTGAAGGAATAAACTACAAGAAGAATGAAGTAGGTGGTTTTTTTATAGTTATTCTTTTGAATTATTTTTAGTGTATTAAGACACTAGCTTATGATGATTTGTTCTTCCTTTCAGGTGTTTTTGGATGTGGTAGAAAATGTGAACATACTTGTCAACAACAATGGACAAATAATTAGGTCAGATGTTGTCGGGGCATTGAAGATGAGAACTTATTTGAGCTGTGTTTTCTGGTTGTTTGAAGATATATGGTTCGTCTTAAGGGAATATGCATTAGTTTGTTACAGTTGGAGGAGAAGAGCTTGGAAGAAACGAAGGAAGCAGGGAAATAATTGGGGAAAGCAATGGTCAAGGGTTAGGGATTTCAGATGGTGATTTGGGAATCGGGGTGAGAGAGGAGATAGAAATTGGGAAATTAGGGATTAAAGGAAATGAAGAGGTAAAGATGTATTTTGAAGGGGAGCAGATGGAGCACGTGGGTCAAGAGGGCATGGATCAGCAGGCAAGTCTAGTCCAGGAAGAGATAATGTAGCCCAAGTGATGGCCCAATATCTGAGAAGGGAAGATAAAAGCAGTTTGTTATATCTGTTATATAGTACTGCCAGCTGGAGTACTTATTTTACCATTTTAGCCCTGTAACTAAATAAACAACGGCTGAGAGATTGAATTCCTCAAGTATTGAATGAAGCATTTCTTCTGAATTCTCTAAATTCTCTAATTCTTCTTCTCAAATCTATCTCTATTTCTATTGACTATAACAATTGGTATCGAGAGCCTCGGTTTCTGGCAAAATTGGTGGCATGCCCAAGAAAAATCAGAACATGACAGATGATTTAGTGGGGTTGCAGAAACAGATGGAGGAGTTGACAGCATTGGTGAAACAGGGACAGGATGAGTCTAACCCTCTTAAATGGTGGAAGACTCAGGATAATAGGATTTCGGCATTGGAATCAAGGATGGCTACGAATCATGGATATGTGGAAGAAATTTTGAAGATCTTGACTGGTAGGAAGGAGGACCAAAACCAGTCTGCTGAGGACCAGGTACAGACTCCTAACTCAGTTAATATGAGTAGTAAACAACCTGTTAAAGTGACGGTGATTAATGATAAGACTAGGTTTACTTATAACCCTGAGGAGCCTGGAATTCTTAAGTCTAAACCAGGAGATTTGCCTGTCCAAGTGACTAGCTTAAAGAATGATAATCTAATGGGAGAGAACAGTGCTGCTAGGAATCAGCTAATGGCAGTAGATGTGGATAAAAGAGGTACTGGGGAGTCTTCTAACATGTCAGGGGTAATGTGGCAAAGACAAAAAATTGAGCTGTCAATTTTTGAAGGACTTAATCCAAGAGGATGGTTACAAAAATGCCTTAAATATTTTTCTCTTTGTAATATTGCTTATGAGCAAAGAGTTGAGGTGGCTACAATGTATTTAGCAGGGAAGGCTGAAGTTTGGTTTGATGGTTATATTATGCAAAAACATCATGTTACTTGGCATGAGTTTGAGGCAGACCTATGTCATAGGTTCAGTGATAAAATTTTTGTTGATATTGTGGAGGAGTTCACAAAGTTAGTGCAAAAAGGAACTGTGGAAGAATATCAGGACAAATTTGAAGAATTACAGCCACATATGTTATTGCAAAACCCTACACTAGGGGAAGAATTTTTTGTTTCTCTGTTTGTGAGTGGGTTGAGGGAAGATATTAAACACAGAGTTAAAGTTTTGGAACCTAAGTCTCTCTCTGAGGCTTGTAGGCAAGCTAAACTGTATGAGTTGTCTGTGGAATTTGAGGGCAAAAGACTGAGATCAACCTTTAGAAACTCATCCTACCCAAATCCTATATCTACTCAAAAGTCAAGTCAGTTACCAGTACAACAAAAAAATGCAGCAAACACATCATCAAGGCAAAACTTACTGGATTACAGAAGGCAAAACAATTTATGCTTCAAGTGTGGAGATAAATTTGTTCCAGGTCATCAATGCAAAATTAAACAGTTAAATATGATGATTAAAGATGATACTGTTGTACTTCCAGAAGGTTCAGAAGAAGTAGAGCAGCCAATGGTGCAAGAAGAGGAAAGCTTAGAAATATCTATCAATGCCATTACTGGCTGTATTGGGTATAATACCTTGAGGATACAAGGAACAATTCAAGGGAGACCATTAAATATATTAATTGATAGTGGTAGTACCCATAGTTTCCTAACACCTCAGTGGGCTGATGTTGGGGATCAGATTAACACTACTCATCCTTTGGCTATTACAGTAGCTAATGGACAGCAACTCTACAGTTCAGCAAGGTGTAATGGGGTGGAATGGAAGATGCAAGGTCATTCTTTTCTGCATGATTTCAGACTACTTCAGTTAGGAGTGATATGGTTAGGGGTGGATTGGATGAAGTTGTTTAGTCCAATCTTGATGGACTTTAATAAAATGACAATGAGTTTTGTGCATATGGGGAAGCAAATTACTATAAAAGGCCAACAACAGTCAAATTTTTTGCAGCAGATTTCAGGAGCTACTCTATTGAAGATGACAGCTTCTGACTCTCCTATTTTGGGACATGTTGTATTATTCAATATGTTGGAGGATTCTAAGATTATTTCTACAGCTATCCAGCCTCTTTTGGACCAGTATCACTCTGTTTTTACTGAACCTACAGGACTGCCTCCTACAAGAAATCATGACCATGCTATTCCTCTTAAACCTGAAGCTACCCCTGTCAATTTAAGGCCCTACAGATTTCCATATAATCAGAAAGCTGAGGTGGAAAGGCAGATTGCTAATATGCTTTCCTCATCTGTTATTCAACCAAACAAAAGCCCTTTTGCTTCTCCTTGTCTCTTAATAAAAAAGAAGGATGGTACTTGGAGGTTTTGTGTAGATTACAGGAAGCTGAATAGTATGACAGTGAAGGATAAATTCCCTATTCCTGTGGTGGAGGATCTACTAGATGAATTACATGGAGCAGTCTATTTTTCTAAAATTGACTTAAGATCTGGTTATTGGCAGATCAGAATTAAGCCTGAGGATATATACAAGACAGCTTTCAGAACTCATCAGGGCCACTATGAGTTCAAGGTAATGCCCTTTGGGCTTACTAATGCCCCTGCTACATTTCAAGCCTTAATGAATGAATTATTTATCAGAAAAATTTGTCTTGGTATTTTTTGATGATATTCTAGTTTATAGTACTTCTATAGCTGATCATATTATTCATTTAAAACTAGTTCTGGAAGTTTTGAAGACTAATCAATTATTTGCCAAGATGTCTAAATGCTTTTTTGGACAGCCTCAAGTTGAATATTTGGGACATATTATTTCAGCTTCTGGGGTTTCTACTGATCCTACTAAAGTGGCAGCTATGAAGAATTGTCCTGTGTCAAAATCTTTAAAATCTTTGAGAGGTTTTTTGGGATTGACTGGGTATTACAGAAGGTTTGTAAAGAATTATGGTACCATCAGCAAGCCTTTGACTCAGAAGTTTTGCCCTGTCGTAAAGAAGTGTGCTAAGCTTGTCTAGACTGTGGGGCATTCAAGGTGGTGATGAATTGTTGACAGGTTGGGTTAAAGATATCAATCTAACATGATGCCGGCATATCAAGCATAACCTGCTGACCAAACATTTCATGTCTCATTCAAAGGTTTTTTGAGGAAGGACGATTGGTTAGCATGCTAGTTTTGATTGCTAGCAAGCTATATATCCATCATGAACATGCTAAAGATACAACTATAAGAACACAAGTCCGTCTCTTTCTCTTGGCACAACTATGTAGATAACTCTTGCCTCTAGGAATTGGCCGGAATGATAATATTGTTGTGTTAATTTGCTAACAAAAGCAATCACTAAAAAAAGAGAGGGAGTTCTAGTGTTTGGTGTTCTTTTTATAGTTTTCCTAATTTTACCTGTTGAGGGTTTCACAGGTTCGTTATCTGAAGATCATTTAGAAAAGTGGTTATCAGGCTCTTCCGTGGGTACGGTACATTACAATGGCCGGCGAGTACGAACTAAGACTTATTTGATAGTCACTGCTTTTAAGTTGTCATTTCCTTTTCACTGAGTTTGAATCATTGGGGAGAGTAGGAATACAAGAAACTAGTTTTTACATAACAAAGGCCCTGTGAAGAGCATGTGAGAGTGTCTTCATCTTATACTTTCTGTGCATTATAATTTTTTTTCCCCTAATAGGCGTGTAAGAGTTCTTTTCTTCCCTTATCAAACTGCAAATACAATACTGAGAATTCTTTTATCCCCCTTTTTTGTCTCTTCTTTTAATGATTAATTGTTTGAATGGGTCAGCTCAGTGCACTTGGATATCAGCCTGTTTTACAGTAAATGAAATATGAAAATTATTTTTCGTTTAAATGGTTTTGTGTTAAATATTTTACAGCTGTTTGTTTCTCAAAAAATTTATTAATATAAAATTGGTGAATTGAACTATAATTTCTTCAGTACGTGGCAATCCAACAATGGCTCAGATTAAGAATCACAAGGACAGGGAAACCATAAGAACTAAGAGAAATTCAAACTGAACATTTGGTATAAGTTGTTTTGTTTAAGGACTAGTAAGTAAAAAAATTCATCCGAGGTTATTTGGTTATGCTAAATTTGGAGTCCCCATCATTGTTTTGAGGACATTTGGGATATTCTTGTTTCCTTCTCTTTTGGTGGAGAATTTGAAAAGCTTGCCTTTTATTCGATAATCTTGCCTTTTATTCGATAATCTCTTCTCCTAGCAGTTTACTTCTTCCAATTCTAGTGGTTGCACGATTTTAGTTGAGATTGGTAGGTGATCACCAGGCCGTGGCTTTAGTTTTTGGTTGCAATCTTGTGCTACTGTTATTTAGGCGGGTTCTTGATGTAGTTGAGGGGTGTTATTATGGTTATAGCTTGTAACTGGTCAATGTACTTATCTTTGCTTCCCGAGCTGATTAATAAAAGTTTCCCGGACACTCTTTTCCTTTCCGTTGTCTCAATCGATCCTCGACTTGATCGTAATATGAGTGGTTTTTAATGAGGCCTCAACTACTTAATCAAGGGCTTCTTAGAAAATATTAAAATTGGGGATGGTAAAGGTTTCATACAGGGACGCTGTGGAACGGGTTTCGTGAGGATTTATTCTACTTCGTATTTAATTAAATGAAGTCAGGAGCATGAATTTTACAAATGATGGACGAAAATTAGATAAAAATTAAACTCGTCCTAGATGGTGGGATTAAACATGAACATGACTTTGTACTCACCTCATGTCCACTTGCCTTGCATCATTGTTTGTATCTGAAGTAATGACTTTAATCTTTAATTCAGGTTATATTTTAGTTACCAATTATAAGGATCGTGACGATTATTACTATTTTTAAATGATAATAGTTGAAATAATTGTATATAGTGTGGAAGTTCAAACGATAATATTTCAAATTTTTTATTGAAAATTATTTTATATTTATTTAATGATACGTACAAATATATATATAGAATGAATTGTGGAACTGTATAACAAAAATTTGATGATTTTGAACTCACATAGATGATAAAGAAACAGAAAAGAGAATGAAAAATTCTTACATAATGAATACGGCAGGAACCAATGAGGTTTAAAAATTACTTTTTTTTTATTTCAATAATATATTGCTTTCAAGTATTTGAATAATTCTTAGTCAATTAAGTTCTCTTATTTATTTTTAAAAATAATATAGTTTCTATTCCATGAAATCATAACTTGGTAACTAAAAATTTTTATATATTCTTGTTAGACTTCCACCGCTTCATTCTTCTAATATCTCTTACATTTTTCTATTTAAAATACAAATATGCATTGTCAACAATTTTTTTTTAAATAGATATTAATTTTTAAACATTTTAATTCTTTTTTATTTGCAAAATTTATTTAAAATCGTTATGATTAAGCAAGCAACATATATGCGAAATCATAATGGCTAGATAGAGCCAACAGCTTTATAAAACCATGAGCCCTAACTTCTTTCCACGCTAGAAAGTTAAAACTGCGGTCTAAAACTTACTTCCTAGAGGGGTAATTGAACTCTAAAACTTGGCATATACACATAAAGATGACCAAAGGCTTTTGCTCTTCATTGAAACTACTAATTTCCATTGATGGTCCCTTTGATTGCTGCCAACCTCTCCAGGAAAGCTTAAACTCATCGTCGATACTCAGCATGCTAACCCGAGTATATCCGAGTCGACCCCGAAATTTGTTCCACCCCTCGTGACAATCTTATGCTCCCTCAAGAGATTGTCACAGTTTAAGCCATCCTTGGTCTCAACCATGCAAAGGCTGTACAAGGGGGGGGGGGGAAACAAATTTCAAGTTTTAATGTGTGTCAAAATGATGATTTGATTGAATTTTATGATTTCGTTTACCAGGGTTTGAATCAGTTTCTTTGCCTTTGAAATTGGCAGAAGTCTCTAGGTACTTAGGTAGACTGAAAACGCCGTTGCGTTTAACCACCTCCCGAAGCTTTTCCCATCGTTCGGACATGAGAAGATGACCGTATTCAAAGAAGTTTCCTCTTTGTCAGGGCCGGAATTCGAGCAATCCTCGGCGATCACATCGAGAATCTTGGCAGCTCGAAGCTGGGATTCTTTCGATACACCAATGCGCTCAGCTCCATGTACTTAACCATCTTGGTAGCCACTTCTTATCCTTAATGATAGCCATCTGCAAAACAAATGAAGGTTATAAACTAAATGACCAAAACACTTGTTCTATGGATTATCATTTCATGGCAGGAAATTGTTTACCCAATGCGAGAACCGGCATGTCCAGTGGCTTGGAGAAGGTGAATAGCATAATCATTATCAGCTTACCAGTAATGGGGGTGTATTGAGGCCAATAGTAGGCTAAGTCATAAACGAGTTTACACCTTCCGATTCACAACCGCTTCTCGGATCGTTCCATCGGGGTTGTTGGGTGATGTTACACACTCGACGTAGCTCCATCTTTGAATGTGTACGCATCGCCCGCCCATTTGTACAGCCCCGATCGAAGAAACTCCGTCTCTCAGGATACGACTGCAGCAAAAGGAAGAAAATATAAAATCATGCATCGTACTACGGATCGTGGAGGATATGGGGTTGACTTGACTCTCCATGGTTTGAGAAACTAAACATGCCCATGTTACCAGTTGCTCTAAGATCCAAACAATGCCGACATGCATATGTTTGGGAAAAGTAGTGTTAGTTTTTGAGAAAACATATTCGTTCCATTGTCCCATCTGAGACAACCCCATAGTGCAAACGTTTCCCTATGTCATTGAAAAATGGAACAGAATCCATTAATGCAAAGACGTTCTATTAAACATGGAAACAACCCTCGACCAAAACGATAAGAACCCAACACGACAGAAGTGGGATACATTGATTTGAATTAACCGAGTTATTTAAAAAAAAGGGAAAAATGGGGGGGGGGGGGAAGAACATATCAAAAGTCAACCGAAATCAAGGGTTAAGATTGTATCAAGTGTTACCGAGTAAAAAGGGGCGGCGGCGACTACACTGAGTGCTCAGTGTCAGGATTGTGCGGGGTAGAGAGGGCGTAAAGCACCGCCTGGAAGAGCTGAGTCGAGCCAGTGCCGACAATTACGTATCGGTCGTCGTCAACCACCGCATTCCCAACGACACGGTGCAGTCTCCTGATTGCATCATCGAGCTCCGGCATCAAAAACCAGCACAAGTTTCCAGGGTCACTGAAATAACTCATCAGATCATGACCGGGGATCACGACCCTACACTTGTCTCCCATTCTCCTCCAGTATGGCTGGTACATGGTCGGATCACCGCTGTAAGAAGAAAAAATCACATGATCACACTTTCAAATCAGATCGCAATGCATGCACATTAATCAATGTAACAGTCACGATCCCCATATCGAAAGAGGAAAAAAGCATGCAGGCGATGAACAAACCGAGCCAAGTTGATGACCAGTCGGAGGAGACAGCAGTGGGCGTCTTCTTGGCGGAGGACACGACGGAATTCGCGGCGGAAACTGCCTTCTCAATGCCGACCACCATCTTCGCTTCTACGAAACTGATCCCGAGATAACGCTGTTTTCAGTCAAATATTGTTGTGGGTGTGGATTGGACTGAGGATATCTGGGATTATATATAGGGAGAAAATGCAAGAGGCTGGGCGGTGCTTAACCTCTAATTTATCAATATTTGGTTTTGGATTTTCAGATTTAGC